CATGCATGGGGAAAAACTTTTGCTTGCCATCCTAGGAAAAGGAAAGAGCTGTTTATCTGCACTGGTAGGGGATGGTCTGTGCAATCTGGGGGATGGTTTTCAGCCTTTAGTTTTGCGTGGGCAGGGGGCATCTGTGTATGTAATCTTATGGTATCCCACTATGGAGGACCTGGGATGGGGTCCAGGCTCCCTACCTGGGTACTTCAAGGCTAGGCTTCCTCAGTGGGGGCCCAAGCTAAGTAGGCAGCACCAGGTCTGCACCCGCCCGCCAAGCTTGCGGCTGGGCACCGCTCCCTGCTAACGCAGCATGTACCAAGACGGGTCCCCCCCCTACACTCCCTTCCCTGGCTCAGCTGCCACCCCCAACCCCCGCAGCCACACCGCGCCTGATTTATGGTCCTAGGTTGAGGCTGGACAGCGCCAGTGTCTGGGTCAGACCTTGAGGAGACCTCAAGTGCCCCCCCACCCAGCCTGACCAAGTCAGGGCCCAGAGGTAAAAGAATCCAGAGTGGTGAGGACCGTGAGCCAGAGCAAGGGCTTAATGGTGTCAAGCAGAAAGCCGGAGCCAAAGCCAGAGCCTCCAGGACCCCATGGCCCTCAGCCTAGCTCTAAGCTCAGCTGGAAACACTGAGAGCAGAGAGGCCTTTCCTGTGGGTTATATTACCTTCTTCCTACACCCACCATAGCGGCTGGAGGTTGCAAAGTCCCATTATCCAGCCTAGATCTTCATCAGACAGCCCCTAGCCTGGGAGCAGGGAAGGGCCGGGGCAGAGGCCTAAGAACTGGAGACTAGAGCCAGGGCTAGAAGAAGAGTTGAGCCTGGGATTCAGTGCTGGCTGCTGTGGTGGAAGGACAGGACAGCTACTGGCAGGCCAGTAGCCTGGAAAGGACTGGAAAACAGCTATCACGGGAATCTCACCCCTTTAGTCTCATCCTCTGATGAAGCCCCATAACCCTGGGGCCTCTGCAGTCAAGGGTCAGCAAGGAGAGGATGGGACTCATCTAGATCTCTAAGCTAAAACTCCCAGCAGTCCTTGACCAAGGGCTCTTGTGAAGACAGCCCACAGCACTGTCCTCAGCTGGGATACAACGCCAACCTGCCTAACACAGCTGCCTCATGGTCATGAAAGACCATCTCTGCTCACCATCCGGGACCACACTGGCTCTCTCCACACTGGCCTCCTACCTCACTGGCTCTCTCAGGCTTCTGTTGGCTGCCCCAGAGCTATTGCCACATGGCTGAGCGTAGTAGGTACCTACAACATGGTTGTCTGCGGCCTTCAATAGCTTCTTGCCTCCTAGAGGCTGACCTTCACCATCTCCCTTTGTAAGGGCTGCCTTGTCCACCCCATGCCTGAGGAAAGGGCCACCAGCCATTGTCCCAGAAGTGTAACCTTCCCCCTCAGAACTGAGGCGTCAGACCACCCTTCCCAGTCACAGGGGCACCTCAGGGTTGGAGAAGGGGCCAGGGCATCTGGGCAGCGGGCCCAGCGTGGGTGAAGGGAGGGGGACAGAGAGGCAGGCTTCCTGGGTCTCCTTCGAGGACAAACAACAGGCTTTGAGGCCTTGGAAAATCCCGCCCGGGATTCCAGGCCCTGCCGGGCGTCACTGCCTTTTGACTATTGTCCCCTTCGGAAACGGGCCCAGCCCCCGGCCAGTAGGGACAGAGTGGCCATTGTGAGGTCCCATCAGGCTCAATGTCCCCCTTGTTAGCCCTCCCAGCCCCTAGCAAGACTTGGAGGCCAATTCTTCTAGTAGCTGAGTGGAAAGAGCTGGCCTCCAGGCTTCAGCCCTTGGGTGGGATAGGGTAGGGCAGGGCAGGGCAGGGCAGGACTGGAGGATCAGCTCCCCACCCTGTACCCCAAGTGGACCTTTTATTTTGGAGTCTTTAGATTGGGAGGCTGAGTGGTCAAGTAGTTGGACACACCCAGTCAGCTACTTCCAAGCCAAGTGACCTTGGGAGAGTCATTTCCTTCCTCTGAAGTAGACTCTTCTCCACTGGAAAAACAATAGCTAACATGTATGTGCCAGGCACCATTTTGAAACATTTATAGGTATTTCCTCATGAAATCCTTTTAGCAATTTTATGAAAAAAGATACACCTTATCCCCTGAAATATAGAAACAGTGAAACACCGAATTGTTAAGTAACTCACTCAAAATCCACACAAGATTCTTTCTCTCATCCTTCCTTCCTTCCTTCCTTCCTTCCTTCCTTCCTTCCTTCCTCCCTTCCTTCCTTCCTTCCTTCCTTCCTTCCTTGTTTTTGATGGCTGCTGGTTATCAAATCCTGGGTCTCATTCTTGCTATGCAAATGCTTACACCCCAGCCCTAGGGCCAAGCTTACATCACAGTAGTCTGGCTCCAGGGGTCTTTGCTTTTCCCACTCTACTATGCTTCCACTTGTGAGTAAAACCATACTTTCCTCACTGAGTGGTAGCAAGGGCTAGAAATAATAACACATAGTGAATGAAAATAATCTGGCTGCTGGGGGACACGATATGTGACAGTTCTCATCATCTCAGACTGAGCTATTCCTTTGCCACCACCCCTGTCTCCAAGCATTTTGCTTTTCCCAGGGGCTTCCCTGTCCCCACATCTGTTTGTGCTCAAAGGCTCATGGAAGGGAGAGACCCAGAGTCTAACCATAGCTGGGGAGGTTTTCCCAGCAAGTTTGGCTCCTGGCCAGAGCTTGGGGAAACTAAGGCTCAGTGAAGAGCTCAGTAAGGAAGAGGGCTTCTCCCACAGCAGCGTGGTGGAGGCTAAGAAGCCACCTCCTGACTGACTTCCCCTGCCAGCTGCTGGTGCTAATGATACAGCTCACCTGGAGCCTGCGTCACATGCTGGGGTGCGTGTTTTGGAAGTCCACTGCACTGGCTGGGGTGGGGGTGGTTAGCCACTAGTCAGGACCGATCTTCCCATCCAGCCACTGGACGCTTCAGAAGGCCTGAGGCTGTACTATGAACCCAAGTAAGGGTTCTGTGAGGACACTGCCTCATGCAGCTATGTTTCCAAGGGACCATGGAGATAGAGACTCAGGTCCCAGATCAAGGGTGGTGATGAACAGGTGAGGGTCCTTCTACTTCTGGGCTCCTAGTAGGCCCCACAGGCCCTGAGTACTGTGAAAGGGATGGACCCTGCGTAGTGACCACCTCCCTTGGGCTTTAGGTGTTGCCTATCCAGGAATGGATGGACATGTTTCTCATAAAGGTGGTCTAGGCCACCATCATCACAGTGCAAAGTAACTGTGTAAAGGACATCATCTATCAGCATATCTGATTCTCTGACAGTACTGAGATTTGAACTCAGATCTTTGCACTTGCTAGGTAGGTGCTCTACCACTTGAGCCATTCCCCTGGCCCTGGTTATTTTTGACGTAGTGTTCTACTTTATGCTTGGACTGACCTGGACTTGTATTTATGCTTTCCCTGTAGCTTGGAATGACAGGCCTGCCCCACTGAGTGTGGCTGGATTTTTTTGTTTTTATTTTTGTTTTTTTGTGGTGCTGGATGGAACCCGGGAGATATCACACATGTTAGGCAATCCCTGTACTACTGAGCTACACCCTCCCAGCCTGAGAATGTGCATTTTAAGGAAGCAACTCATGAGCTGTGGGGCTGGAGAACGCATGTGGGGAACGTGGGCACAGAGAAGAGATCTCAAAACCTTTTTTTCCAAGAAGGCAGTGCCTGGGATGGCAGGGTGTAGCAAGGTGGAGAGTGGGGATGAAACACAATTTACACTGAGCAACATCAGCTTCCACCATGGTAGGCTCGACTATACCCAGCCCCATGCTAAGCATCACACCAGCACCCGCCTCTAATCCTAAAACTCACTTAGGTTGATTTTCCCCTTCCTGTTCTACAAAAAAGGAAAGCAGATGGGTGCTGGTGGCTCACTCCTGTAATCCCAGCTACTCAGTAGGCTGAGATCTGAGGAACCTAGTTTGAAGTCAGCCCTGGCAGAAAAGCTTATGAGACTCTTATCTCCAGTTAACCAGCAAAAAGCCAGAATAGAGGTGTGGCTCAAATGGTAGAATGCTACCCTTAGTGAAAAAGCCAAGCCAGAGTGAGAGGCCCTGAGTTTAAGACCCTGTACCAGCACTTCAAAAAAGAAAAAAAAAAGTGGAGAGCAAGATCAGATCCACAGAACAGCATTTGCAAAGTATGTATTAAGGCTTTGCAACTTCCACCGCCAGCCCTTGCTACCACCCAGATGTGACAAGCAGCTGGCGGACTGGGGCTCACCCACCACAGGTGTCATGTGCCCCTTTGCGCAGCTGGCAATGCAGTTCTGTAGCTTCTCAACCCACCAGGTTAGGAAGAGACGGTTCTGAGACATGAAGCCAGGTTTACCCATACAGTGCTGCTCTCTCCATCTCAGTTGCCATCCACTTTGGGCTCATATCAACCAGAAGGCTTGGCAGAGGCTTCCCCTCATGTTAGAAATTAGTACTAGAGCTGGTTGTGATGGCACATGCTTATAATCCTAGCACTCGGGAGGTATAGGCAGGAAGATGTCAAATTTGAGACCAGCTTGGGCTGTATAAACAGATACTGTTTCAAAGTGAGGGTGGAAGGGACACCAGTCCTGCTGGGCACTGGTGGCTCATGCCTATAATCCTAGCCTCTCAGGAGGCTGAGTTCTGAGGATCAGGTTTCAAAGCCAGCAGTTAAGTCCGTGAGACTCTTATCTCCAATTAACCACCAAAAAACCAGAAATGGTGCTGTGGCTCAGGTGATAGAGATGTTGCCTTGAGCTGAAGAGCTAAGAGACAGCACCCAGACCCAGAGATCAAGGCCCAGGACCAGTGTGGGGGGAAAGACACCAGCCACAGTGCTTTCTATAACAATTCTGTGACGAAAGTGTCATCACGATCTTCCTTTACAAATGAGTAAACTGAGACCAGTTTGTTTGGGTAACATGTAAGATTTGTCCAGTCATATTGCCTCATATGTAATTATAGCAAGGTGTGTAGTGATTCTCAGAGAAAGAACATCCCAATTTCTGCTACATGTCTATTTTTTATTCAATATATTAAATATATTAATCAGAAAAGTCACATACTATAAATTCAGGAAAAATACACAAATATAAATGTCAGAATCTGTCATTTGTCTTCCTCCTCGAGTGACAGTCTATGTACATGTGGAAGGAGGTTGGGAAGAGAGGGAGTTGAAAGAGGCTGGAAAGGCTTGCCCAAGGCTGGTGGGGGGTCCCCATCCCTTCCTCCCAACCCCGACCTCAACCTCTTCCTTCCTGTATTTACAGCAGCATTTGGCTTATTTACAGCAGGGTGGCATGTGTTAAAAACGGTTTATCTTACAAAAAAAATGAAGGCCAGGGCTGGGCTAGGGGATAAGACAAATTGTGGGGTCACCCCTGTGAATGCATCCCCTTCCACAGAACTTGAGCTCCCTCCCAACCTCCTGAAGTAGGTGAGGAGGAAGGACAGTCGGCAGCTCAGATCCAGGCTAAGAGATGCTCTGGGGGTCCGTGGGCTCAAGGCACGTGGGGTGGTGTAAGAGTGTACAGATAGGTATGCACACACGTTCAGGGCTGGAGTCAGAAGGGCAGTGTGTCCATAAAGATCTTGTCAACAATTGGTGGAGGGGGCACCAAGTCCTCCAGCTTGAGGTAGAAGATGCGCTGCAGGCCCTGGGTACACAGGGTCCGCAGCTCAGGCAGTTTGCCCAGCAGACGTGACAAGCAGCTGGCCGGCTGGGGCTCACCCGCCACAGCTGCCATGTGCTCCTTCAGGCAGCTGGCAATGCGGTTCTGTAGCTCCTCCACCCGCCTTGGCTCCTGCAGCCCATGCCGATCTGTGGGGAGGATGTAGGATTAGCTTCTCAACTGAAGACAGACACCCAGGGGACCCAGCGTCCTCCAGGCCTCTATACCTTCAGCCATTTTCCAGTTCATCTGGCACTTAGCAAAAGTACCATTGCAAGGAGCCCAGTGTGTGTGTGTGTGTGTGTGTGTGTGTGTGTGTGAGTGTGTGTGTGTGTGTGTGTGTGTGTGTGTGTAGTGAAGTACCATTGCCATAAGGAGTCCAGTGTGTGTGTGTGTGTGTGTGTGTGTGTGTGTGTGTGTGTGTGTGTGTGTGTGTGTGTGTATGTAGTAGGGCTTGAACTCAGGGCCTCATGCTCTCTCAAGGTTAGTGTTCTACCACTTGAGCCACAGATCCATTTTTGACTTTTTGTTGACTAGAGAAAAAAAAAAGTCTCACAGACTTTTCTGCCTGGGCTAGCTTATAAATGTGATCTTCAGATCTTAGTCTCCTGAGTCACTAAGATTGCAGGAGTAAGCCACCAATGCCTAGCACACAGAAACCCACTTTAAGCCTCATATGCCAAAGGAGAGGGCCCAGAGGGTTTGTATGACTTGTCCAAGCTGGCAAATATGAAATCAAACCTAGGCCAGGTTTTGCGGTGGAGGCCAGGGGTTTGTCCAAAGTATTCTGAGAAGCCTTTGGGTGCAGCAGGAGGGCCTTAGGACTTCCTCCAGGTGAGGACTACCCTCAGACTTCCCCACCCTCTCTTCAGCCACAGCTTCTTTGATTTCAGTCTATATAGATGGATCCCTTGTAAAATTTAAGTGATAAAAGGGGCAGGACAGATCCTGAAACTCTGCAAAATAACCAAAGAGATCTGAAAACGTCTCCATAAAGTCCAGTCTGCACTGGGGGAAGTCAGTGGTGCCCCCCACCCCAGCAAAGAGTGATTGGAGGCAACATAAGGCAGGCTGAGGGGTACATATCATGCTGTTATGCATAACCCAGGGGCTGGTTACACAAGTCCAGTTTGTGAAAATGTATCATGTGTGCACTTTTCTGCATGCTGCATAACTGTCAAGATGATTTTTTTTTGTCGGTCGTGGGGCCTGAACTCTGGGCCTGGGCCCTGTCCCTCAGCTCTTCAGCTCAAGGCTAGCGCTCTACCACTTAAGCCACAGCGCCACTTCCAGCTTTTTCTGCTTATGTAGTGCTGAGGAATCGAACCCAGGACCTCATGCATTCAAGGCAAGCACTCTACGACTGAGCCACCTTCCCAGCCATATCAAGATGTTTTTTTTTAAACAAGCCAAAATTCCAGGCCAGATATCAGCACCTATGATCATATCTTAGACATTTTGGGGCCATTCAAAGGCTGGCTTGAAGCTGAGTGCTGGTGCCTCATGCCTGTCATTCTAGCTACTAAGGAGGCTGAGATCAGATGGTAGAAGTTCAAAGCCAGCCTGGGCAGATAAATTAGAGACTCTTATCTCTAATTAACTGGTAAAAAGACAGAAGTAAAGGTATGGCTGAAGTAGTAGAGCACCAGCTGTGAGTGGAAAAGCCAAGGGCCCTATGCCCAGTACAGCATACAAAATAAGTGTGTGTGTGTGTGTGTGTGTGTGTGTGTGTGGTGTGTGTGTGTGCTGAGCAGGTTGTCAGGCTTGAACTCAGGGCCTGGGCACTGTCCCTGAGCTTCTTTTGCACAAGGCCAGTGTTTGAGCCACAGGTCCATTTCTGACATTTTTAGTGATTAATTGGAGATGAGTCTCTTGGACTTTCCTGCCCATGCTGGCTTTGAACCTTGATCCTCAGACCTTAGCCTCCTGAGTAACTAAGATTACAGGTGTGAGCCACCAGCATCTGGCCTAAAGACCATTCTTTATGCCCTGACAGCCCACTCCTTGGTGCCAGGCACTCACCAGTGATGAGGACGAGAGCAGAGAGGCAAGAGAAGGCAGGGACATCAACAACCAGGCTGTGCAGGGACCGCGAGAAGGCTAGGATACTGTCAATCCAGTCGCCAAAGCCCCGGGCACACTGCAACCGGTGCAGCACCAGGCCTGAGCAGAAGATAAGCTTCCCTTCCCCTGGCTTAGACCTACAGGGAGGGGTGGAGACAATGTTCAGGGCTCAGGGTAGATTGCAAGCCGGGACAGCAGGGAAGGACCTGGGAGAATGGCTGGCAGCTCACCGGTAGGCCAGACGGAGTATGAAGAGCTCCAAGAAGGCTGACTCCAGCAGCAGGTCCTGGTCACCTGGGGACAGCTCAGTAAAGCCTGGGATCTTCTCTGCCCACTTCCGGATAACATCCAGGGAACTTGAAAGCAGGTCATAGAACTGCTGCACATCACCAGCATCTTCCTTCCCAAAACGGGGCAGCACCAGCTCCTGGAACTGGTAGGGGTCCAGAGGTGAGCATCACAGGCAGGGCTACACTTGGATGCCAGATCCCGGAATGCAAATTAGGCTCTGGACCAGAATCATGGGCTTGCCTGTAAATTCTCACAAAGCCCAAGGCTGTGGCTAAAGGTGCATTTCTCCAACCAACCCAAAGGGGACTCCCTCTTTATTCTGATCAGAGTGGTGACCTTTCCTACCATGCACAAAGGTACTGTGTATGCTTGCAGCACCCTCCTGGAGCAGAGGCAGGGTAGGGCAGGGGCATAGCAGGGAGGAGGGCCCTCACCTTGGAGTAGTCCAGTTTGGCAGTGCTGGGTCCTGAGTCCAGATGTGCCCGGACAAGGGAAGTGAGTAGATTGACAGGGGAGGTATCCAGGGTCTGTTTGGGTTTGGAAGGTAGTCGGCCCCGCCGCCCTTTCAGGCTGTCTGTCCGCACAACTGCAGAGAAATAAGCAGGGGTGAGGAAGGAAGGGATCTGAAGTGAATCATGCTATCTATCCCACACCTCACAAGGTCCAGAGTGCCAAGAACCCAGGCACTCTGGGTTCTTGGGGGGGCAGCCCACCCCCCCCTCCCCAACCACCCTCCCTTCAACGTATTGGCAGGTGGAAGATGCATCCAGCTCTTGGGTCCTAGGGCTCCAAGTTAGGAATAGAAATAAGGGGCAGACATGCCCTGGCCGAGGACCCTGCCTGCCCCATCAGGCTGTTTCTGCCCCACTGGGCCCCATCCTGCCACCCACCTTCTTTCACCATGCCCACAGCCAGGCACTTCTGGAAGCGGCAGAACTGGCAGCGGTTCCGCCGCCTCTTGTCCACAGGGCAGTCCTTGTTCGCCAGGCAGATGTACTTGGCGCTTTTCTGCACTGTGCGCTGGGGGGGGGGCGGGGGGGGTACACGGAACAGGCTGTCAGATGGGTGGGGTGGGGAGGGGGAAGCCCAGGGGAGGGGACCGTCCAGATCCTGCTTTGGACGCAGACAAAAGTGCTCTCTGTTCATAGCTATTTTTCTAACATTTGGGTGGCAGGGGAGGGAGAGATAGGAGGGTGGAGGGAGAAAAAAAACACTTGAAGACACCAAGGGCAATTTCTACCTCAGGAACAAGACCCCCCCAGGACCCAAGATTAGGGGTCTAGGGTCTCCCCAACTGTCCGGACACCTGTATTTCTTAACTACCTGTCTGTCCACATCTGCCCTTTTCCTGGGGGCAGCCTGGAGAGGACTGAGCGGTTGGGGGTGGGGACAAGAAGCAAAGCAGGCACCCAGCATGGGGGACAAACACACAGCCTGTTCCCAAATCCACCCCCAGCCCTCAAGAACCAAATCCCTGCCAGGATCCTTTCATCTTGTGCCAGGAACACAAGTGCCTGGGGCCCCTTCCCACCAGGACCTTGGAGCAGGACAGAGAACCAGAGAGTGCCCACTAGAATACCCTCTCCTAGGTACCACGGCAGCCTGCACCCTCCACCCCTATCCCACCCTCCCTCCAGCTCTCTGGGGTCTAAAAGATTGTGTATGCTGTAATGAGCGAAAGGTCCCAGCCCCTGTGTCTGTGGGTCCCTGGAAGGTAGCCCACCTGGCAGGCCTCTCTCCTTCCTGCATGACAGGACTAGCTAGGAGAGACTACCACAGACCCCCTTCCTCCCAAAGGAGGATCAGACCACACTGTCCCCACTTAGAACCCAATGCTGTGCTCCAGGGAGCCTGATACCTTGAAGAAGCCCTTGCAGCCCTCACAGGTGCGGACCCCGTAATGCTGGCACGAAGCGTTGTCCCCACATACAGCACAGCGGCCCTCACTTCCACCTGGAGCCCCACTCCGGGCCTTGGCAGAAGTCATGGGTGCATCCAGCAACCCTGAGCTGTCGAGGTGCGGGGAAGTGGGTGCCAAGCCTGAGAAAGTAGCTGGCATGGAATAGCTCTCTCCTTCTCCCAGCTGGTGGGAAGCCTGGGACGGGAACAACTTCAGGGAACTTTGGGCCAGGCTAGGACTGGGACCAGTGGGAGGACTGAAGGAAAAGAAGGCTGGCTGTGGGGGCCCAGCAGCTTTGGGCAGCTGCTCTGTCCATGCCCGCAGGCCTTCGTAAGTCTGGTTAGGGGAGAAGTGGCCAAATGAGCCATCCCAGGGAGAGAGCTGGGGTGGCTGGAAGCTGGGTGTGGATGGGGACGGCGCTGAGCAGGGGCTTCCATAGTAGTCAGAGCCACTGGAGGACAGGGTCTCATCGAGTGGGCCGCTCAAGGTGCCAGGGTAGCAGCCGTACACCTGGAAGTCCTCCAACTTGAAGGAAGCAGAGGCAGGCGAGGTGGCGGAGGATGAGGAAGTAGAGGAGGCAGAGGAGGTGGAAGAGCATGGCTGGGCCGTCCCTGGCAGCTGGTAGAGGAAGGTGTCAAACTCTCCAGTGTAGCCGTCCATGAAGGTGCTGAAGCTGGGCAGAGCAGTGGGGGCAGTGGGAGCTGCCTCAGGGCTGGCTAGGTCCATGGTGGGCTTGCTGAGCTCAGGGGTCAGGGAGTCACTGGCCAGATGGTCACGTGGTCCTGGACTTGGGGCTGGTGTCCCATATTGGGCTTGGATACAGGGCATCTCTAGAGAGGGAAGAGATCCAAAGGAAGGTAGGGAGGAGTCAATGAGTGAAGCCTGAGGCCTACTCTCAAAGGACAGGGCTGGGGCAGGCAAGAGTAAGCTCAGAGACAGGACAGAGGTACCAGGGCCACAGCCCCTTCCCCCCTCCCCTAACTCAGGAATTCCGACCTCGGGCCCAAACTCTATCTCAATCTTATGTGCCACAAAGCCCATGGGCCGAGACCCAGTCTGAGTGGGCTCAGTCGGAAAGCCAGCCACACCCCAGTGGGCCTGGGAACCCAGGGAAGGCAGCCGGCCAGCATCTCTCCATTAGAACAGGGGGAAGCTGTGTTCCTCCAGCCCTGCCCTCCCCACCAGGGAAGGCATGGGTGGGACTAGAGGGGGTGGATGGGAGAGGCAGGCAGACTACAGAGCCTCAGCCCAGCCCCCAGGAGTAGATTCCTTGTTTCTCCAACCAAGCATTTCCTGGGAATATTCCCAGGCACACCCCAGTTTCTACATACCCCTTCTTCACCTCCCCCCACAGTATACGGGGAGACATACATCCTGGAAATGGAAGAGGGACTAGGAATTGAAGGCCCAGCTGTCCAAGAAGTGATCTAAGTAGCAATGAAGTATCTGGAACTTGTCCCCTGTCCCTACCCCCACACTGCAGGCTGAACAAAAGGTAGCAGAGCCCACGTGTACCCTAGTCCTGCCATCTGGGGCAGCACCCACTCTGTACTGCCTAGGATGCTTCCAGAAACAAAACAGAAGGGAACCCAGGCCTTCTTGGTGTCCCTAGTTCCCCAGGGGATTGGGTAACATGGCTCCAGACCTCTAAATGCCATATGCTGAAAGGTGGCCAAGGGCAGTCCCTAAGAGGAATTCCTCTGCCATCCCTGGTTATTATGAGAACTCTCAGAGTCCAGCAGAAGACATAATGGTGATTACGCTGGGCAGAGAAGCCTGTTAGAGAGTGCAAGGGAGGCCCCCTGCCCCTGCCTGGGTTCCTCCTCTAACTCAACATCTGTGCCCTGAAGCACTGAGGGGCTCAGACAGTGGGGTTCACACACACCCAATTCTGAGGCCCCTGAAAGGACAGAGATAGAGTAGCAGAGGGAGACCTTAAATTCACAGACTGTTAAAAAAAAATCTCCTAGAGGAGGCTCCAGGATCCAGTCTCTGTCTTCTACCCTCCTGGTCTGGGGTCTACATAGTTCTAGCCTCCCTAGTCAGGCAGGCAAGCTACCTAAGAAAGCAAGCTGGAACAGAGAATGACAGCGATTCAAGGCCAAAAGGTGTTACCACCTTCTAGCCAAGAGTCTAGAAAGCTGTTTTCCCAAACCCAGGGACTCTGGACAGGGCAGCCCCACCCCGGGCATTACACTCACTTGTTCAAATAGAGCCCCTGGAATAGGAGCTCTGACTCCACCTGCCCAGTGGCATTGCCTAGAGGCACAAAGCCCTCTCAGGAGATGTAAGGGGCCCTGTCTTCCTGCAGTCAGACAGCCTTGGACAGCAATGAGTTGGGGGTGGAGGAAGAAAGGTGGCAGCCACGCAGTACTGGGCATTCATTCCAGCTTTATTCAAATCCTGTTTCTCCACTTGGATGTCCTACATCCGGATCAACCCTTCCCCACCTCCTCCCTCCCTTCATGCAGGTACACAGGCTACAGAAGATATGAACCTACATAGGGGGGAGGGGGAGTTCCCTCAGGGAGGAGGAAGAGGCGGGGTTGAAAGAGGGAGTGGGAGAATCCGGCTTCAGGCAGGTCCTGGTAACAATGTGATTTGCACCTGTTAGGCTTGAGCAAGCCTCAGGGTGCACCCTACCTGAAAGTTACACTGGGGACCATTGAGGGAGGGGTACAGAAGTCTGGGGGAGGCAGCTGGGATGGTAGACAGGTACCCCAAGGAACACCCCAGTAGCAGGAAGACTCCTAACAGGGCAACTTCCATGAAGAGTTCCCAAGAAAGAGGGTTTACATGAACACACACATGCACACACATGCACACACACACACACACACACACACACTATCCAAGCCACAGGTAAAACAACCCTCCCTGTGCTTCTGGATACCCTGACCCTAAGAAAGCTTACTGTAGCACACAGTAAAGCAACTTTCCACAGTTCAGCCTCTACCCAGCCATTTCAACTTCAGGAGTTGCCAGGTCTCCCCATACAGTTCAGGCAGAAAGGTGCGGGGAGGGCGGGGGGGGGGGGGAAGAAATCCCTAAAAAAATAAACCTCCAGTCCATAAAGCATTACGAAAACAACAGAGGCTTGAGGAGCCTGGGAAGGAGACCCTTGTGGAAATCCAATCCTAGTTGGGAGTTGGATGGATCTGGGCGGGAGATGAAACTGTTTAATTCTCCCACAGTATACTGAGCCCCCACCCCACCCCCATCAGCACCCAAATCCACACAGCAAGGTGTATATAGGCATTTGGGCACCGAGGCTAGCCATCTGTTGTTGGCAGAGCCTGCGCTCACTCTGGATGCCAACCCCAACTCCCTGTACCTTCCACCTTGCAGCTAACTTCACTCTTAACCCTCCCAGGGACCCACATACACCGTCAATTCCACGTCCTGACACGGATCCTCACGTCAATCTTCAACACCAGAGCTGCACACACACGCGTGCACACACACACACATACACACACACACCCCTCCTGCAAGCTGACCCTACCACGTCCTTTCTTCCCGCGCGCACATCCATCTCCTTCGCACATGAAAAAAAAAGAAAGAAAGAAAAGCAAAAGCAGATGCACACACTTTTCCCAAAGAAGACACCTACCCGGCCAGCTCCCGTTTCTCCCACCCGGTACCAGCACCCGAAGTGGCAGTCCGGTCCCGCGTGCGTGCGCTCCGCGGCGATCCTCCTCCTCCTCGCACACTCCTTTTCACGCACCCATGCAACTTTCGCAGCCTCTGCCACTGGGGCTCCACCGGCGGGCCGGACCCTCCTCTTAAGGGCTCCGTGACGCACGGGGAGGGGCGGGGGCGCCACTGACGCACGCGGGCCCGGCGAGCTTTGGCCATACAAGGGCGCGGGGGGCGGCGCGGTTCCGGCGGGAGGCGGCCAGGGGGGAGGCGCGGGGACGGAGAGCCCGAGAAGGCGGGGCGCAGGGGGCGGGGCGAGGGGGGCCTGGAATGTCTGCGCGCGTGACGCACGCGGGGTTCCATTGACGCAGGGAGCGCGGAGCGTTTGATCTATAAATAGTCTCCCCGCGCGCCCCGCAGCGCCGGCTAAAAATAGCAGCTCTACTAAGGGCTCCCCACGCGGGACCCACGATGTGGAGAGGGGGGACCCCCCCAACACCCGAAATAACTGGCCTCGAAGGCCAGAGCCCAAAGTGGGGGCGCTCCAGAGCCGCGTCCACAGGGCTTTCCCGGACCTGGATCGCTTCACCTTCTGGCCGGTTCCGGGAGCCACCCTCGCCCGGTCCCTAGGGCCCCACCCCTACCCCCAGCTCTGCCCTTCCTCGGAACCCCCCTCCCAGCTCATCCATAAGGTTTTTGCGTGTCGCCCTCTGCTACTGCTGCTGCTGGCAGCCAAGGCAGGCCAAGGGATGGGGCAGGGCACACCCTTGGGGAGTCTGCACCCCAACCCAAGCCCTAGGCACAGCATATGCTCTTGTCATGCCTTGCCTTATCCGGGGAACATCAACCAGAGCCTTGGTGAGCAATAGGCACCTGGCCTCCAAACTCCCTTTCCCTAGGGCAGGGGTTTGCCAGCTCCCCGCTGGGCCAGCGGGTTCTGCATCACGTGCTGATTTTGGTTTCTCAACAGTCTTAGCCCTGAGCCCCTTACAGGATGGATGCACTGTCGTTGGGGAATTACCACTTTCTGAACCGTGTGGGGCCTGAGAAATCTTTTCAACTTTGTGCCAACTCTTCCTCATTTTATAAGCAGGTTCGGAGAAACAGTGACACTTGCTCAAGGTCACACAGCAACAGGATGGCACCTTATGGGGGTAGAACCCAAATCCACCCACACTGCATGCCCAGGGACTTTTACCAAAAATCTGGGCCTCTTCCATCATGGAGAAGTACCCACCTGCTGGGTACAGCAGGGAAAGGTCTGCCAGGGTTGTATCAGGGTACAGGGCAGGCTGCAGGTACCAGCAGACTTCTCTAGTCCAGCTGTCACCCCTCCACCTGCCCCATGCTTGGAGAACCTAACTGGCAAGGTAAGGGAGGAAGAAGGGCTAACTGGTAAGGAGATAGGCCCCCCCATTCCCCTTTTCCTCTGCAAGACAATGATTTAAGGAGCATCTGCTCCTACTGGGCCAGCTCCCACCTTATCTAGTCACTCCTTTATGGGACTTCCTTCTGCCCCGAGCACTGCAGGTGACACTTCCATTGTCACCTCCCTTTACAAGCTACCCACACCTTGTCTCTAACCCCCACTTCTGCCCCAAATCCCACAAATCATCAAAAATCATCATCCAGACCAAGCTGATCATCTCTGTGTCCCCTGTTGGCCACCCCATCTCAAGTCCAGATGCCTCCATGTAACATTTTTCCTGAATTCCCATCCCTAAGTGCAGCAGACTGAGTGGGTGAACCCAATGACACTCCCCCCGCCACACACGCACATACACCACTTCTGGCCTAGGTCCCTGACTCCCGTATGAAGCTGGGTGCAGGGGGCTCACACCTGTAACACTGTCTACTCAAAGAGGGTGAAAACTAAGCTGGGTGCCTCTGGCTCATGCCTGCAATCCTAGCTACTCAGGAGGCTGAGATCTGAGGATTGCCATTCAAAGCCAGCCAGGGCAAGAAAGTCCGTGAGTCTCCAATAAGCCACTAGAAAACTGGCAGAAAAGTCCCTGAGCAAAATTAACATCAATGATGTTAATCAAAATGACAAGTTGGAAGCCAGGTGCTGGTTGCTCACGCCTGTAATCCTAGCTACTCAGGGGACTGTGATCTGAGGATCACGGTTCAGAGCCAGGCTGGGCAGGAAAGTCTGTGGGACTCTTGTCTCTAACTAGCCACAAGAAAACCGAAAGTGGCGCTGTGGCTCAAAGTGGTAGAGCACTATCAAGTCCCATGACTGACAAAAATAAAAAACAAAAAACAAGTTGGAGCTGAACACTGGTGACTCAAGCCTGCAATCCTAGCTACTAAGGAGGCTAAGATCTTAAGAATGATGGTTCAAGGCCAACCCAACCAGGAAAGTCTGTGAGACTCTTATTTCCAATTAACCACCAAAAAAATTGGAAGTGGCAGAACACTAGCCTTGAGCAAAAAAATAGCTTAGGGTCAGTGCTCAGGCCTTGAGTTCAAACCCTATCAACACACACACACACACACACACACACACACCACATACTGAATACTGAGGAAAGCTCCCTTGAGGCAGGTATGGTAAGGTAGCACAGGCCTCTAATGCCAACACTTGGGAAATTAAAGTAGGAGGAGTCTGAGTCTGAGGCCAGCATATACCATATAGAAAAACCCATTTCAAAAAAAAAAAAAATTTCCTTTGGAGCCTGGGATATAGCTCAGAGGTAGAGTACTTCTCTAGTATTTGCAGCCTTCTATTCCCACTACTAAGAAAAAAGGAAGGAAAGAAGGACAAGAAAAAAAATAAACACTTTTAACCATCATGTCCCCACTTTCCAAATCCTCACTGTCCACCACAAGTGGTAAAGCCTTCATATGATACTGATCTCATCCAGTTATCTGGTCAGAACCTGCCAGAGCTCCCCCAGCCAGCATGCAGTGTCATGTGGATGAGTCTAAGAGCACTCAGTTCTCCAAAACCATCTTTCAAAGCCCTTAAGGCCACTGCATGAAGGTGAAGTGCAAGTAGACCAGGGACAACGGGACCCATCCAGGACCCCCACTTCAGCTGAAGGCTCTCTTCTTCTAGGTTTGTTTTGGGGATTTTTGTTTGTTTCTTTCTTTTTTTGTCAGTCCTGGGGCTTGAACTCAGGGCCTGAGTACTGTCCCTGAACTTCTTTTGCTCAAGGTTGGCACTCTACCACTTGAGCCACAGCACCACTTCTGGCTTTTTCTGCTTATGTGGTGCTGGGAAATCGAACCCAGGGCATCATGTATGCAAGGCAAGCACTCTACAACTAACTTACCTTCCAGCCCCTCTTCTAGGGTTGTTTTTTTTGGGGGGGGCGGTCTGGTCGTGGGGCCTGAACTCTGGGCCTGGGCGCTGTCCCTCAGCTCTTCAGCTCAAGGCTAGCGCTCTACCACTTAAGCCACTGCGCCACTTCCGGCTTTTTTCTTTTTTGCTTATGTGGTGCTGAGGAATCGAACCCAGGGCCTCAGGCATGCAAGGCAAGCGCTCTACCACTGAACCATCTTCCCAGCCCCTCTTCTAGGGTTTTTGCACAAGATTTTGCTTGGGTTTTTGTGGAATCCTTTTGTAGAAAATGCCACCAATATTTTTGCTTTGTTTTGTTTTTGGCTGATGGCTCATGCCTAACTACTCAGGAGGTTGAGAGCTGGGGATCCTGGTTTAAAGCCAGCTGGGGCTAAAAAGTCTGTGAGACTCTTATGTCCAATTAAACATCAAATGACCAGAATTGGAGGTATGGCTCAAGTGGTAGACTGAGGGACAAACACCCAGGACCTGAGTTCAAACCCAGTACCAGAAGAAAAAAAAAAAAAACTTGGCACCAGTGGCTCATGCCTATAATCCTACTTTGGAGGCTGAAATCTGAGGATCTTGGTTTGAAACCAGCCTGGGCAGGAAAGTCCAAGACACTCTTATCTGGAGATAACCAACAAGCTGGAAGTAGAGAAGTGGTAACAGTCCTCAGGCCTTGAGTCCAAGCCCTAAGACTAGCACCAAAAAACACACCACCACCACCAACAACAACAACAAAATAAACAGCTCACATAGAGGGAAAAGGAACAGGTAATGATAGAAAAATATCTAAAACTAGAGATGAGGACCTGAAAGTAAGTCCAGACTATGGAGAGACACAGGGAGGACAGGAAAAGATGTCATGTTGGAGACAAAAACCAGCATCACTCAGTAAGTCCCCAGGCCCTAGGCCAATCAACTTTATCACCCAAACCTTAATACAGTCCTGGAGTTAATCCTTCCCCCTTCATTCCCTCTACTGGCTCCTGACAATCCTCCAAGCCTTGGTCTCCTAAACTATCCTTCTGGACGAGCCCAATTCTTCATAAACACTTCTGGACGAGCCCAATTCTTCATAAACACTTCTCACTGGGGTGAGGAGAAGGGGTACCAATCAAGATCAGACCTGGGACCAAGGTACCTCATATGCATTCTTCCATGTAAGGCTCAAGAGGAAACAGAAGCTCAGAGGTAGGTTCATTCTACATCCTCTAAACCATTTTCATATCCTTGACTCTGACCTCCAGAGGCAGTGGCTGCTGGCCCCCTTGAGCTTGATTCTTGTAAGTGTACACAGCTTATAGCAGGTGCCTACAAGGGCTTTTTGGTGGGACTAGAAGCATTCAAGTTCTTGAGGTGGATGATGATGACTTACTTAAGTCACCATAAGTCATCAAACTCCTATGCTGTGTGCACTTTTCTGAATGTAGGTTATACTCCTCTTCCTCCCCATAAAAAAAATAAAGCTTATTCTCCAAACAGCCATGTCTAAGGGGAGTCATATTTATTTAAATGAATGCAAATGTAGCTGGAATTGACTGAGTTCAAATTCATTCAAGTATTCAAGTTTCGGAAATCAAAGATGCCCTTTCTGATTTTGTGTGTGTTCTATCAACAAATACTCACCACAGCTAGAGTTAGGAGAGGCTGCAAAGTCCGAAATTTGGAAGGTGTCCCTATGCTGTCAATACAGGGTGTTTGGGACCCAGGGACTCTTATGCTCAGACATGACTCCTTACTCCCCCACCAGTGTGTGAACAAGAGGGAAAAAGCAGTCTTGCCTGGGACTTAAGAAACAAAGGACTTCCACTC